CCTGTGACGCCGCGGCACTTTGTGTGGCAGGCGTGGCACAACCTGACATCCACCTTCGTTTCACGTGGCAGGCGTGGGACAGATGGCACTGCGTGGCGCGCTTGGACGGGCTTGGGCGCCTGTGACGCCGCGGCACTTTGTGTGGCAGGCGTGGCACAACCTGACATCCACCTTCGTTTCACGTGGCAGGTGTGGCACAAACTCACATCTACTGTCGTTTTGCGTGGCAGCCGTGGCACAAACTCACATCTACTGTCGTTTTGTGTGGCAGGCGTGGGACAGATGGCACTGGGTGGCGCGCTTGGACGGGCTTGGGCGCCTGTGACGCCGCGGCACTTTGTGTGGCAGGCGTGGTCCTTCCGGCATGTTTCTTCGTTCCGCGTGCTTCGGCATGTTTGCTTTTGGCATGTTTAAGTACTTTCTTCTGTCGGCCTTCTACGTGCTTCGGCATGTTTGATTTTGGCATGTTTAAGTTTGGTCATAAGTTTGGTCATTTGCATGCAAAGATGCGGTCCTTCTGGCATGTTTCTTCGTTCCGCGTGCTTCGGCATGTTTGCTTTTGGCATGTTTAAGTTTGGTCATTTGCAGTCATTTGCATGCAAAGATGCGGTCCTTCCGGCATGTTTCTTCTTTCCGCGTGCTTCGGCACACACACACACACTTCCGGCCAGGTGCTGGTCTTGCTCGTGGTCGAGAGGCAGGGCTCTACTGCGCTGCAGCACCGCTGTGCAGCGCAGACATGACAGATGCTGTTTCTTGCATGCAAACTTTCATCATGTCGTTCTGTTTTGGTCGCTTTGGCCCAACTAGAAGTTGCAGACAACAGCTCTAGCACGCATACCACTACAACACAACAACAACTAGTCAGTCAAGGTAAAGATGCGGTCATAGGATCATCTCTTGTTGCTCTGGTCGTTTTAGCCCAACGTGGAAAGAAACGATCGGTGCAGTGTAATTCATTCTGCTTTGGTGGCCTTAGCCCAACGTGGAAAGAGGCCATCGAAGCAGACATTGCAGAGGATAGCAGAGGATAGTGTAGCCACCACTACAACCACAATTAGAACCAGTCAGTGGACGCATACGACGCAACCACCAGCACAACTAGCAGTGCAGAATCAATTCTGCCACCGAATCTTCAGGAACAGTTACAGATACAGCATCAGTTCGACCTTGCGAGTCAGTTCCCAGCGTCTGTGGCTGGACGGTCCAGGCAGAGACCCTGGGTTTCCTGTGTTTGCTCTGCGTCAAGGTTTGATGCAATCGAGGCACGTGGATAACGGTTTGCGGTGTCACTGCAGACCGGATGCAGACTCTTGCGGTATAACAGCTGTCGGAGCACTGGAAAGCATGCATGCAGTCTGCCAGAATGGTATCACTACAGGCAGACTGGATAGAAACTGTTTCTGGATTTTCATCTACTCCTTTTTGGTCTCGGACGTACTTACAAACTGGGAGTTGAGAACAAAGACTATATGCTCTTTATCGATTGACGCGCCGTGCGAAGATACATTTGATGCTAAGTCCTCCTTCCATAACTGCTGAATGCTTTTGGCAAATGCCATGCCACCATTTTCAAAAAGTTGTACGAAGCATTACGTTGATCAGTTCAGCGCGAAATCGTGGAGATCTGTACGATTTCTCGTTTGACTGATCAGCGGAACGCATCGTACAATTTCTTGAAGAACGGTGGCATGGCATTTGCAAAAAGCATGCAGCAGTTGCGCAAGGACAAACACTATATGCTCCTGAACACGATGCAAATGTGATCGAAAGAAAAGATGGCGTTCGTCCCAGCTCAGAACAGGTTCTGTGCAAACAGTTGCAGCTATTTGTATGTCACTGTCAACAGCTGTCGTGGGCGCATTGATGCAATGTGCGAAGATGATGCCTGCGATAGCGAAGTTTATACTAACAGCTTGTGTCGGCACATTGATGCGCTGTGCGAAGATGATGCCTGCTGAAGAAAGTTTATCAGAGTGCGACAGTTGTTACGAGAAGGAAGTGTGTCATCCGATGAATTGAGGCGAGGTAGCTACCATTATTTGTATTTGGCTCTACTGCCTTATGATGCCATGTAGGCAGATGTCGCGAGAGCTTCATGTCATGAGATGGTACACTGTCAACAGCTGTCGTGGGCGCATTGATGCAATGTGCGAAGATGATGCCTGCGATATTGAAGTTTGTGTTAACAGCTTGTGTGGGCACATTGATGCACCGTGCAAAGATGATGCCTCTCCTCTTGAAGAGAGTTTATCACACTGCGACAGTTGTTCGAGAAGGAAGTGTGTCATCCGATGGATTGAGGCAAGGTAGTTTCCATAGCTCCTGTGGCCACATTGAAGCACTGTGCGATAGTTGATGCGAGAAGCAAATGCGTTATCCGATGAATCATAGCGGCAAAACTTCGAAAGGTGCAGCTGTGTTTGCTTCTCATGCGCTTGTCTGCACCGGTGTCGTGGGGCAGTAGTTGACAAGCCAAGAGGAACAGGAGCGTTGTAGGCTAAATTCTGCACTGCCCATGGACAGCTGTTTTGTTGCAATTTCAGCGTGATCGCATCTTCTGATACTACCTGCCAGGTACTGACCTCATCGCGTACATGGTCCACGCCGACACCCGCACTCACACACACACAGACACACACATACACACACGTACACACACACACACATACACACACACAGACAAACACCCACACACACACAGACAAACACACACACACAGACAAACACACACAGACAAACACACACACACAGACGCACGCAGGCACGCACACATACACGCCCACGCACACACACACACCCACACACACACATCATCCAAACGCCAGTCGTGGGCCATCCGTTTTCGTGATGGTCTGCGCTGTACGTTTGCGGACACATAATCAATGGTCACGCATCGATTGCCCTTCGCCGCACTTCCTGGCGTGGGGCATCTTTGATCGTGGCCGCACCCCACACACACATACTCGCACACACACACACACGCACACCCACACACCTCACCCACAAACACAACTCATCCGTACACAACTTACTCACACATACTCGTCCACACATAACTTACTCCACACCAATCCTTCACCATCTCTTTTCTCTTTCTTGCTTACCCCATGCCGTCTTTGCCTTTCTTTTGTTGCTTGTTGGAAGAAGTTGACTTGTGGGGTTATCCGGTCCTTTAATTCCATACAAAATCCGTCCCCGAACCTCGATAATCTACCTCTGCGGTGCGATGCGAAACGGTCTCATGCGTGGTCGGATCATGGGCGGATCATGGTCGGATCGGTTCCGCATTGTAAATGGGGTTTCACCTGTTTTTCGTGCATATGCGGTCGACAGAATTCCATTGTGATTTACAACTGTAGGATCGTTCCCGCAATGTAAATGGGATTGCAAGTGGTGCTGGTGGATGAGTTGCCGATGGAATTCCATTGTGCTTTGTAACTGTAGAATTGTTCCCGCAATGTAAATAGGATTGCGGTTTACAGCTCAGTTTTTGGAGCTACAATTTCCGACGCTGTTGCGCGTAGTTCTGTTGTGTTTTGCAACTCAGTCTCTGCAGATCGCATTACAAGGTTGCTTCGTGCTGTGGCTGCATTTGTAATACTATTGTCTTTTGCAGCTGGATCTCGTAAATCGTATTGGAGTGGCTGCATGAAGGCTGCGACAGTGATTTGTCAGCAAATTTTCTCCATTTTGGCGCTAGTGATTTTCCTTCTAAAAATCCTTTTAAAAAGTGCTTCAAAACCGTCTTTTTTTTCGCTCTGGCGTCGAGATCCATCCGGTTTTGGAGCTACAATTTCCGACGCCGTTGCGCGTAGTTCTATTGTGTTTTGCAACTCAGTCTCTGCAGATCGCATTGTAATGGCTGCGTCAAGGTTGCTTCGTGCTGTGGCTGCATTCGTAATACTATTGTCTTTTGCAGCTCGACTTCGTAAATCGTAATGGAGTGGCTGCATGAAGGCTGCCACAATGATTTGTCAGCAGATTTTTCTCCATTTTGTCGCATTAGTGTTTTTTTGTTCCACGTAGGTTTAGAGCAGTGTGAAGTGTGGGGCGTAAAGAGTGCAGTGTGAAGTGTGAAGTGTGAAGGAAGCAGTGGGAAGTGAGAAGTGTGAAGTGTGGAGTGTGAAGTGTGAAGTCTGGAGTGTGAAGTTTAAGTTTGGAGTGCGAAGAGCGCAGTGTGAAGTGTGAAGTGTGAGGTTTGGAGTGTGAAGGAAGCAGTGAGAAGTGTGGAGTGTGAAGTGTGAAGTGTGGAGTGTGAAGTTTGAAGTTTGGAGTGCGAAGAGTGCAGTGTGCAGTGTGAGGTGTGGAGTGTCGAGGGAAGGACACGGTCGGGACAGGTTGTCTTCGAACTATAGGTCATTTATGTTTGGGAAACTTCCGCCGCCGGCTTGCCCGGGTCTATGTTAATTATAATTATAATTTGGAAATACGCGCGCTAAAAGTAGGGTTCGCAAAGTCGTCGATATGATAGGACCCTCCAATTATGTTGGAATACAAATAGAGGTTGCTTCAATGTAATTGGCTAGGGAAAAAACGATCTGGATGACGCTTGATCCTTGTACCGTGCTGGAATATAGATAAAGGCTATTGTATAAATGTCTTGTAACGGCTACTCGAAAGATCCTCCTCGATGTCGTGCGACCCTCGCGCTTTGCGGGAATGCAACTGCAGGTCATAAACGCATTGAGAGCAGAGAAGAGGCAGAACAAAGAAGAGTTGGCTCGCTGGCTCCTTCATTGATTCATACATTTCTTCCTTCAGCCACCTACCCATTGCCCCTTAATAGTCGCCACCAGGAATATTTTCAACTTCTGCCAGCTGGGTTCCCGGAAGTTCTGGATTCACACCAGGAGGCCACATATATTTGACGCTACAGTAATCTCTTCCTTGCTCGCCGTCTCTCTTGTTCGGGGCTATTCCACCCAAAAAAAATATCCCAAATGCTTCAAACTGAGATCAAATAAAAACCTGAAGCCCTAACATTCAATAATTTATTGTTTTGAACATATTTCAATGCAAAATAGAATCCTGCAACAAACTGTCAAGCGGAAAATGTGACCAAACATATGCATCAAGGACCTGTAGTAGAAATGGAAAAGCAAGCGCAGCCATGTATTCAACAGCGTGCAAAAAGCATCAAAACCGGAAATGGCTGTGGAACAGTAACCAGAAGCTGCTTTAAATTCTCGACCCATTCTTCAAGCCTACGACGTGAAAAATCTAGAGCACTTTGTTGTTTTGTCGCAGCCCTTGCTCCCTCTCCTCTATTGATGACAAGTCCTGGGCTGTCGACTGCAAGTCTCAACTTCAGGTCTGGGGAAACCAATCCGATCCAATCTGATCAAAATAAACTAACTGGACACTAACTGGACACCCTTGGATCACAGGAGGTGTCAAGCCGCCTGGATTAAACATTTCTTGATCTTCCTTTGCTGTTAAACAACCCTAATAGCAGGCAGTCCGTATCAAACTTCCTGCAACTACGAACATATTGACAAAATAGCACGCAAAAAACCCGCGGAGATGAATAGACACACAGACAGACACACGAGGAAATGCTCTCATCAATTGCTGACACGTGGATTTCAAATTTTTCCAAGTGACATGAGCCAAAGCTGCCAACTGATGCCTTGGTATTCCAGCTTGGTCCAGGAGCTTTCTCTGGCTTTCTGAATCTGCGACGTGTTCAACAAACTCTGGGGATCCCTGGCTGAAGCGCTTCCACATCTGCTAAAGTTTGGTGCCTCAACTCCGCTTCTCGACGCAACCTCAAGGACCGCTTTCACATTCCACGAATTGTAAGGGCACTCAACGAAAGGACGGCAAATCTTCAATGGATGAATGAGTTTTGTACCCCCGAGGAATTTCCGAAACTTGCCTTACAGAGTACCTCACCCAAAAAAGATAGAAAGGTCACGTACCACTATATTCTAGTCGGATTTTACTGCTTTTACTTTTCTATCTTAACTGCCCGGCGAAACTGAGCATCCCTGGCTGATCCCAGGCTCGCTGCGCAGCCTTTGCCAACAGCTCAGCGCCCCTGGCAGCTTTTGCCAAAGCTTGGCTGCGCAGGCGCCAAGCCTGGACAGGCTGTCGCAAGGCAAGTTGAATGAAGGGAAATCCTGATGGGGATCAATAATCAATAAGAATCAATAAGAGTCAATAATAATCATAAATCCTCAAATATAATCAATGAGCAATAACAATAATAATTAGCAATAACAAAAATAACACTACTCAAAATCTTATACTAATGATAATAGCAACAATAATCGCAACAACAACAATAATAGTAGTGAAAATCACAAAAACAAGCATAGAGAGAAACATCAATATCAATTACCATCAAAAACAATCAGTACATATTAAAAACCACCAGTAATTAACACCAATCATCATCCTGATTGTAGCTACCGGTTTCGAATCGCGTCCCACCTGAAGGCGTTTTGACCACAATGGATGCCAGGATGCCCACTGTCCCTGGGCCGTGGCATAAATAGCGATGGATGTTGATCCCTCCAGGGATATGGTATTGATGTATTGCAAGGTTTTTACTTGTGCCAATTTTGGGTTGTGGGATTGCCGCGTCTTCACAACTAGATTCAAAACACATAGCACAATTGAAGCTAACGCCATTGCCAGATGTTCATAGAAGTGAACGATATGGACGCACGCTCAACTATTCCTTCGGCTTGACATCAGCCGCCTCCAGTTGTCTTCTCAAGCTGGAGCTTTGCAGGTCAGCAACCTGGTCATCGACCCAGGGGACCCATTTGAGTCATGTCGAAAAAAAACGGTGCACAGCACTGTGCCTCTTTTTCTTGCCGTGCATGCTGCAAACCTGGGGGATGGCAAGGGAATGTTAGACGAGGGATAGCCAAAATGAGGGGTAAAAACGCATGTGTCTGGGAAGTGATCGGAGATTCTAGTTCCGTCAGAGCAACCTATGCCAACACAACGTGACGACTTTGCATGTCACGTCACTTGCGCTGGCATCTTGGACCCCAGCTGCTGACGGCTTGCTGCCATTCTGATCTGGCCTAGCAAGATGATTTACATTGGCAAGGCATCAAAGAGGATTTGCACAGTCTGCTCCGGTTCAGAGGTTTCGTGACGCGTGATCTCCCCAGGCATTGTGCAAATTTGCAGCACTTTCAGAGGTCTTAGACTGACCAAGACACACAACCTCAAGAAAAACATAGCTCAACAAACATCAAATTCCGTGACATTCCACAAATCACGGAGAAGCATCCTGTCCATTTCCTAGCTTCGATGGCTGGGCCTGGGAGTGCTCTTCCTCCAAGCCTTGGCTGAATGGAGCAACCCCAAATGGCCAACTTTTTCTGATCGGCTCTCAAATTTCATCATTTTCCCCGTTAAAAAATATGGTATCTTCTGGAAAACCTCCATTTGTACCACATTTATAAGGTTTACATGGGATTTCTATGGAATTTCACGATTTTTGGTCCCTTTTCGCCAGGCACCTCACCCACCGGCCTTGCAGTTCTCCACGGAGCTGGTCGCGCTGCTCGGCCAAGTGCTGGACGGCGCTTTCTGCAGCGGAGGCCTGGCGATTTGGATCGGCGATTCCGAGTCGGGATTTAGATGATATATAGATGTATAGATATTTGTATATATATATATGTATATATATATATATAATAATATATATATATATATATAATATATTGTGGATGATCATCTATATACGATATATCTGGGTAAATGATGAAAAATCAGAAACCTGACTAGAGGCTGTTGTGGGACAATTCCCAGCATCATTGCATACGGCACCTGTTGCTCCAGCTGCTGAGGGTCAATGGAAGCTGCTTGCAGCTCCTTCGCCGAGAAATTCATCAGGGATTGCAGCAATGGAATAGGATTTTCCTAGAAAAAAACATGGGAAAATGGGTATAATAATAATACTAATGGGATTTCATGGTGGTTGAATGGGATTTGAGTAGTACATTGATTAGTAATGGTTAGTAATGATTGATTCTACCAGAATATGGGATAACCACTCATCAGTTCAAAAGGTTAATGCATGGGTTATCAATGCATGGGTTATCAATGGCTTATGATAGTTGTTGGTAATGATTGATAACTGATAATCGATGATAAATAATGAAGAGTTCATGTTTTTGATCCATTGTTGAAGAATGGTCCGTTAGTAATGTTTAACTATGGTTAATCTTATCCCCCTTATTTTGAAAAATGGGAAGATCATAGGGGTAAACCAACCAAAATGGAGGGATCACAACTACCCTGTGACTGCTTGATGATTCAAGAGGTAGCACCACTTCACAGATGCATCAGTTGAGAAATTCTTAGGACTCTGGCTACGGCCACCCAAAATGGGTTAACAATGGACATGAACATAAGCATTTATTAGGATGTTATCATTCCGAAAAATTGTGATTTTGAGCCATATCGATTTGTAAAGTGGGATTTCTACTGAGAATATCATCTATAAATTGGGATTTCAAATAATGTACACTACTCCGGGTTCATAAACCCAGAGAGCTGTTCAACTGGGAGTTCCATTTCAATTATCAGTACTTGGGGATATTCCCCCTAATTCATAAACCATGGTTTCTGAATGGGGGGCTGATATTCCCATCATTCCCAGCACAGTCCCATTAGATTCACCAGTTGCTTACATCCCCTTAATAAATGGACATGATTAAAACATTGGAGCATGGGTTCATGGTTTTCCTAAACATTATCATCCAAAACATCCAAAACATATGTCTGGGTAAATTGTAACCTTTCACTAATCTGAAATAAGTGAAAGAAATAACGCTATTTTGGGACAGTTACTCTTATTAATAATCAATCATTCCAGTGAGGTGAGGTCGTTATAATTCACCTAGATCTGTGTAAATCCTTCACTAAACCATGGTTTCTGGGGTGTTCAATATGAATGGGGGAAGGGATTCTCCATTATAATCCCATTATAATCCCATTATATCCCCATGAAATCGCATTGATTGCCATTAAAATCCCACTCAATCGCCATATTATTAACATTCATAATTCATAAGATGAATTATCAATGAACCATTGGGGATTAACCATTCATAGTATGTCACCATGGCTTTCAATACTAAACTGGTCCCAAATCAAGGGCCGAATTCTCGTTGCGTCCTGAGTCAACTCTGCGGCTCTGCCTTTGAGACGACCGGCCTCGACCTGGGAAATTGAGGTGCAGCTGCAAATTATTGGATGGTTACTTTAGGGGTTATGAAATGTGAATTTATTGTGGTGAAGTGTCGGCAAATCCAGCTAAAAATGATACCTCATGATACTTTATATGTTTTATTGGGGATGAGTATAGTTTTTTTGCATCAAATGATTGAAGTCAGATTTGCCTCCTCTTACCAACACATAAAAGTCTGAACTTCTCAAAGGCCAAGCGGAGGACGGAACTTTACAACTTACACCAGGTCCGCATCGCTCCGAGCGACTTTCAGGCGATCCATCTCTTTCGAGGCATCCGAGGACCTAAGCTGAACGATGACAACTCGAGTTGTTTAACAAGCGGCAGATTTACCCATGATTTGGGACTTTTAAGTCGCCCAATGAGTTGGCAAAATTGGAATTTTCACGCTGTTTGGAACTCTGTCTGTTCATTGAATGGGATATTTTGTGGCAAAACAAGCACATCACATCAAGGACGGGAGGCTTCCATGAAAATCATTGCTCTGGATGTGAAGGTTATGGTCTCCTCTTTATCTCCATTCAGGGTACACCTCCCAAAATGGCCAAAGGAGAAAATGATGACAATCTATCGGCTTTTATGGCTACCTCAGACAAAACCTTCCAGTTCCACTCACCAAGCCATACCGGTGCACAAATCTGAGTGTCCTGTACCCATCCCCTTGCATCTCTGCCTGAAGCTGTAAGGCCTCGCCAGGCGTTTGACTCTGAAGTGACTTGCCTCCCAAAACACTGGTGAATCTGGTGACATCCCCCACATCTCTTTTCACCCAAAAAAAACCGCGGAAAAAGCCATGCCCCGGCGTTCTGGGAGCCCAACGCGTTCCCGCAACTTGGTTTGCTTCTGCTTGATGCCCTCCAACTCCATGGAGAGGTGATTCCTGGCGGCCTGCATGTCCGAGGATGCCATCGTGCGCTTATTCTGCACCTTGGGCAGGGAAAAAAGCTGCAGAATCTCGAGGCCATTTGAAAGTCCAACGGCAGATTTTTGGTGATAATCCCCAATTAATGGTTAGTATAAACCCGTATAATTATCAACCAACAGGGGTAGATCGCAGCCAAGTGGCATCTCTTTGCTGAGTGGAGATGTCAGCCTCATAGCTGGCAATTCGACTCCGCATCTCCTGTAAAACCTGCAACAAGACGGGACGCTGTTCCCAAAATAGCTGGTAGGAAAACGGAATATCCATCATCCAAGTCATATGGGCCTAGAGTCCTAGAGGTTTTCACCAATACCTATAGGGCTTGTGTCAATTTTTCAATGAGGATTGTAGCAGGACAGCAATTTCTCTGGTGCGATCACAATGTGACAGGTGCTGTTCCGGCGTGCCTTTTCGGCGTTTTCCATGGCTGCATTCGCGGTAGCCTTGGGTTGCCGATGGGTCTTGGTTCCAGGGGCTGGTCGGGTCTGGGTAGAGGTAGCTGGGCATCCCACCACCTCCTCCTCTTGTGACCTCAAGGCAGAGCTTTGCTGCTCCTGCCTCAGATCTCGACTGCAACCGATCACTTTCGTGACATATGGCACTGCAAATAGCCAAAGCCAGTGTTTCTCCAGTGTCTCTCCTTTCACCTTGGCGCCCGTACTCGTGGCACCGTGCCAAGTATTCTGCCTGGCTCCATTGGGCCATTGGTCAAGTCCCCAACCTCCCCACATCTTTCCACCTCGGTCGAACCTCGGTCTGTCTCATGCTCTGGAGCTGTTGGTCCATCGCCTGGTCCTCAGATTTCACCGAGAGCTCTGCCGAAGTGCCAAGCACTCGGATGGAGATGAGATGCAAACTAGATATGGGTGGGTCCAACTGGGGTACCCCAAATGGCTGTTTTAATGGGGATGATTCGGGATGATGATCATCCAATGGATTTAGTTACACTATTTTCAGACAAAGCTATTAGATGCGAAGGAAAGTGTGCAGCTTTCGGCACTTCTCATGACTGGCCCGCTGACTTGTCCTCGGCTTGAGAGAGATCCGAGTTGTCCATCTCAAGCACTTCTCGCCTCACAATGCGCCCCTGTTGGGGTTGATCACTTCACACTATCGACTATTTGGTTGTTGAACTCAGTTCCCATCATATCCCAGTTACAGTATACATCAAATTGGTTACTTCAATCTCCATTTAAACAAAACACAAATAGTTTGAGTCCCACTCCGAACCTAAACTCAGCTTCTCTTCGAGACGAAACTCTGAACCCCATCGACACCCGATGCCCCGAGTCTTCCAACACGGCCGTCTCTGCAGACTTTCGTTGCCGCTCGGCATCTGCCAACCTCAGGTGTGCACCCGGCTTGCAGAGCCGAGCGAGAGTACATCATCTGGGTACCATTGGGGACCCCAAAATCCCATGGTTTGAACTCATATTCCCATTGAAATTGCCATAAATAATTCGAGTATACTGGTATACACAACTTTTGGACAAACCCATATCATGTTGGTCATATATCCCATTAGCCATCCATCAACTCCCATTCTGCCCGGTATCCCCATGAAATGGTTTGGTGGTTTTAACTCCAAACATATGCTCGTCATCGTCATCTCAACCAATCATCAGTTCTGTATGCTTGAAAAACATTCATGTCGAAAGCGGCACTGTAGCAAGTAGCCACCAATGGTTGAAAGACAACAAATGAGCAGTGTTCAAAACCTTTTTGTCGCACCTTTTTGTCTTCTGTCACGATGGGTCGGCTTTGGCGGGCCCACCGCTGAGCTGAACTGGCGTGTTGCCACTCAACCTACCAAAAACGGTGCAATCCGTGCACGGAGACTGCTTCTTCCTGCGGCGTGGCGATGGATGCCACTGGCAGGTCCAGGAGTGTCGCCATTTTTGCGACTGGGCGGTCTCCAAGCTGGAGCTGCAACCAAGCATGGATCTTGTCGTCGATGTCCTTGGCAAGAGTCGACATCACACCCGTTGTCCAGCATCTGAAGCGCCCGTTGCTTGGGCGGTTATCAACCACCTTAAATTCTGGCATCACCAATCGAATCATCTGTATCAAGAAACTTGCCCAAGATCGGCATGTTTGCTTGAGATCATATTCTTGGCTCTTGCTGAAAAGTTGCCAGGTGTTGTGCTTCGAGGTGGACTGGATACCCCATTCACCGGACATGATCTGGAAGGCAAAGAGCAGCTCATACCATGAGTACCACTTCGGGGTGGCCGTGGGATCATGGATCTGCTGGAACCATGTTAGCAACTTACTAAAACCAGGGAAACGTAAGTTGGCAGGGGCTCGGTCAGCCGCAACTAATGCTATTTGATGCCATGAAATCAGGGGTTGATGTTCGAGAGGCTTTGGCATGGCCGCTTTTGGGCCCTCAGCTACTTCTACTGATGCTCTAGCAACTCTCACCATGTGCTGGTGCACATGCTTGACAGCTTGCCTCATTTGCTGGTACGCCTTGCTTGCTTCCTTTTGGAGGTGCATAACTTGACATGGCAGCATTTGAAGGGCTAATTCCGCCATCTTGTCAGCAGCATCATTAGCACTGCAGGCCCACTGTAGCCATGCCAGTTCATCATGGTAAGCTTGATGGGACTTGATATGGTGCAATTGGCAGATGGATTCTGACGGCAGCAATGTCTGGACAATCTGCCACAAATCATGGTCTGTCATTGCCGTTGTGACGGACAGCCATCCACGCTGAATTGCTCTAGCTCTGCGTATGATGTGTTCACAATCACTCCAAATCGCAAAGGTAGCTCCATGGCACTTCATCTGCTCATGACCAAACAGGAGGGAGGAAACAAAGGCAAATAGTTCCGCTCTGATTACTGTCTGGTGCTGGCCGGGGACTCCTCCCCATGCTACGGGAAAATGAGGCTGCTGTGGGTCACTTCCTGCAATAACTACTGCCCATGCAACTAATCGCGTGGAGGGTTGTTTCGGGTCAACCCCTGTGCCATCACAGAAAAGATCATAATGCTTTTTAACAGGACAGTTGGGAACAAAATGAGTAAGAGTATCTGGGATCAGGGCGAGGCTTGATCGATAGGCTCGAATCTCTTCAGGTTCAGTAGCCCACCCATGCTCTTGCAAACATTGCGGGGCAAGCCGGATATACTCACGGATATTTGCTGGGATGAGGTTACGACTGCTTTCAGTATGAGAACATTCCCAGTGACGATGAAACACTGAGTCCGGGAGCTGGCAAAATTTGCAGCTTGCCTCTTCCACTATTCCTGCATGTTGCAGTGTGTCGTGCGTATAGAATGTTCCGTTCTGTGCTACTCTTATGAAGCCTAGTTCATCAGATGCAAACGTGGATTCTGGCTTTGAGAGCTCTGTGCTCACCAAGCGGAGGCCTTGGAAGCCCTTACGATATTCCCACTGCCCTCCAACCATTTGTTGCCATGCTCGGGTGAGTCGACGTCGGAGTTCTTGTACTGGCGTATCAAGAATGTGGAGAAACCCACCTTCTCCATCAGAGAATATTCCATCTGCCTTGTATGCCCAACATATGGTCTCCAGACGGGTAATTAGCACTCCCTCCGGGCCTGGTTTTCGTTTTCGGGTGGGTACTACCGCTGTGGGAGCCAAAGTTGCATCTAACAATTCCGGAGGGATGTTCCTACGGAACTGTTGTACTGTGTTCCACAGTGCATAAAACTCTGGATCAGCTGAGGGGTGCAGGTGAATTTGAGGATTTGCCCCTGCTTTGGTACATCCGATGGCTTGAAAAGCTCCAGCCCGAGCATCAGCAAAATGAGCATGGCCTATGTGCACTGTGGATACTGAGTACATGGCCCTGGGCCAGGCTACCGTGCGTAGCACCTTGAGCTTCTGATCATATGTCGCATGACTACGGGACAGCAAGTGCCACAGTGCTGGGAGGGCTTTAAACTTACTCGTGACTGTGGCATTGGTCTGCCTGGACTCAAATTGCAGGTGTGCTCCGAGGTCTCGGACAGCCTTGACCACAACCTCTTCTGCATCCCTGATTTCTTGCCTGCCTGCCGCAGTAACTGCCCATCGATATGTCTTCTTTTGGTCAAGTTGAATATCAAGGAGCTTACAGAAACCGTCCAGTGATTGCAAGGCCTGGGATGTGTCTGACACTTGATGGGATTGAAGCTCGAAATTATCAACGTATGTTGTGAAGGTGACATTGGGATGCTTCTGCTGGAGATAAGCATGGAGCAAGGTGTTGATTAGGACCATCGCTACCACTGAAAGGCCACAGCCTTCTACGAAACCGGTCGTGGAACTAACCTGTGCCGACGGAGAGTTCATGACTACAAAGTGCCTGCGCAGTTGGGTCGTCGAGGCTGCCCAGGCCCGAATGATCTGTGGGTGGACTCCCATTCGGATGGCAACTTGAAATGTGACCTCGCGAGGCAGGTGGTTAAAGGCTTTGACTACATCCGATGTAGCTCCTGTCAGTGGTTCTGCAGATTGCAAGGCAAGTTCTATCCTGTGCTGCATCGTCCACCATAACGACGATGCCTGTCGGCCAGGGATATTCCCTAACAATGTAGGCGGCACATGCTTTTTTAGGTGATTGAGTATCTCTCTTGATCTTAGGGACGAGTATACTCGATATGCTAGTGGCATTATCGTGATCGGCCTATACTCATTGACAGTCTCAGCTCCAGGGTTTTTTTCCAACGAGTGGACTGCTCCTTGGAGCAACTGGCGAGGCCACTGGCCTGTAAATTCTGCATTTATGAAGATTTTGATCATTTGTTCATGTAATTCGTCCGGCATGGCTAACAAGTCTTTTCTGGACATGGCGTCCAAACCTGTCGCTGAGGATGGTTTTTTGGACTGAATGGCAGCTTTCCAACGGGAAAGGGTAATGGGTTGCAAATCCATGACTGGACAGTCCAGTAACGTTTCCGTGATGGCCAGCACTTCATCCCAGTGGCTTGGGTCAAGATGCCTGTGCCTGTCCCAACGTCGCATCCATTCTGATATAAATTCATCGTGAATATCATGGATTTGGCCCTTGAGGTTGATGTCGGCTAGAGTGTCACCAATATCTAGCGTGTGGGGGCTAGTGAACCACACCTGCCCTTCCTCTATATGGATCACATGGAGTGGGCCTAACCTGGATTCAAGCACCGATGCATGCTGTATATTATCCGAGTTATCTACTATGACAGAGCCCTCGTCGACTATGTCAACTACATGTGCAACTGATTTTGCGATCAGCATTTGGACTGGCACCGGAGAAGGCTTCCGGACGTCCTTGAAAACTCGGTTAACATCCTGGATGCGGTTAGCTTTCGCGGTACCAACTCTTTTGGCAATGAGCCTCGCCTCAAACTGTTGTAAGTGGCTTTGAAAAACCTGCAGGATATGTGTAGCTACCGCAAGATCAGGGGGCTGTCCTGGAAACCACGGAAAGACACTTGGATCCTGTACAGCACGTTCCTGCCACCAGACAGCAAAGCTTCTTGGAAAACCTGATGCGAGGACTATGGCTCTCCATACTGATGCTCTGTGCTCGATCGCAGCCGGGCTAGTGGAAGCCTTGCGGACATGCTTGACATAATGCTGGATTCTCCTACATTGAGTTACCCATCTGCAGTGAGTGAGTGACCATGAGTTGACCATAGGTTGATACTCCCCTTGACGGGCAGGTTTTATGGAAACAACTTGTGGTTTTATGAAAAGGCGCTCCAGGGTTTTGCCTCGGCCTCTTTGCGACTGTGACAGTGCTGTGAGTTTGTGACTAACCCTGACCGTACTTACATGCTGTTCGAAGGCTTCGCATATTGCCGAATATTGCTCAGTTGGAGAGGATTTGATCTGGGCTGGTTGGCATGGTTGGGCAGCAAACTTAGGTGGGGCAAGCTCAGAATAATCAATGGCGGCAGGCTTCGGCCATCGAGCAATCGGTGTTGGTTTTGGTGGTCCGTTAAGGATCCCAACGAGTGTGGAGTGATCCGGGAATTTGTCAAACGTATTACTACAGCTAACTAACAGTGTCTGCAGTGCTGGTGATAGGTAGACAAAATCTTTACGGGATACCTGGCAACATGTGGGGCCAGGGGGTATCCCCCATAGCTCTTGGGCCCAGGTTTGGATGTCCTTCCATCCTCTGGCTTCCCACTTCTGTGGTTCAGCGAGAGTGCCTGGGAGTTGGTTGAAATCTCCGGCTACAAATGCAGGGCCTGGGAATCCTTCTACTATCAAGGAGGTGAGTTGGCTCAAGAGTTGGTCCGTCATCTCTTGAGTGGCTCTGGAGTCAGCGGCCTGTGCATATCCGTAGCATACTCCTCCTGCAATGCACCTGTCGCCGATCTGGAAAGTGGCTGCATGGAGTC